AAAAAAAAAAATCGTCACAGCTGGCTGTATGCCGTCAGCTAGCCACGAAAACGCGTAAAAAAAAGTTTTGAGTTTATCAACTTCTTTTATTTTTTATTTTTATCAACTCGATAAATTTTAGCAGGGTTCAAATGATTAAAACTTCAAAATTTTTGGGCGTGTTTTCGGTGCTCCCGTTGACCCACCCACCACTAATGCGCCAGCGGACGATCACTGTGTTTTACAGCGCAACTAAATTTAACATTCTACAAATTATGGTCAGGGTTAAAATGACTGACCCTAAAACTATCATTGGCTCTTGGGCTATATTTAGTTATCGTGCCACGATGAAGATTTTCAAGGAAAAATTAATGATCCTAACAACTGTCTCTCCCACGTAGGAAAAATACATAATTGTTTACCTGATATTTCTTTTTGTTTTGTTTGTCCAATTTACACACATATTACACACACACATACACACAGATGCACATGCACACTGGCAGTCTCTCTCATTTGACACGTTTATCGTATTAACGGGAAACGTGTAGCTAATTGTTCGCAATCCAATCAGCAGCAAATAAACCGTTAGTTAGCATTTACGGAAGTTCAGTTGACGAATCTAGAGCGGTAGGTTAATGTTAGATGCGTTTAGATATGAGATTCTAACGCAAATACGCATTTCTTAGATTTCTTTTTTTCATCCTTTTTTTATTCTTTTTTTTTTCTTAGTTTCTTTGATGAAAGTTCTTTCAAACACGCGAACATTAAAAACAGAGGAAAGATTTTGTTGTGCTCCTGGTCGTGTACTTTTTCAAAGATTTCTAAGATTTTCACCTAAGTGCCGAAGCTCAAATGAAACGGTATGGCAAATACCGTTTCAAATTACTCATAGCCCATCCGATAACGTTGTCATTCGATACGAGGAACAATTCGTTCACTGTTTATCGATGTTATGTGCCTGGTCGATAATCCGTTATTGTGTTCTTTAAAAACGAATAAATATCTTTGAATGATGGTCTAGCTTCTTCGTCCCTTCTCCAACAGGAACACATCATTTTGTAAACGTCATCTGGACACATCGTTGGTTTTGGTAGAAATACCTAGAAAAAAGAAATAATCGTCATTAATTTGAAAACAAAATACAAATATATATATTATACAGTTTAAAATAATAATACTTGTGATTCTTCTCCGTAATACATGTGTTCGGCATTTCTAATCACTTGATCATTGGTAAGATGTTGAAACGGTTTTTCTCTAGCTAAACTCATAACTTCCCAAAGCGTGACTGCGAATGACCAGGTACTACTAGCACAGGTATACCTGTCCTAAAATAACAACCGATGTATATTCGATTACGTCATACATTCGATATAATAATAACGAGGGAAGGTTTGAGAAAACCAAAAAAAATAAGAAAATGTATATATTTTTCCTTACCAAGAGAATACTTTCCCATGGTAACCATCTGATCGGTGCTGGTGGTCTACCACCAATGTCGCTGTAATCCTTCTTGTAAAGATCGCTGCACATTGCGATATCGGTAACTTTCACGGCGTAGGATCGACCAACCAAGCAATTTCTGGCAGCCAGATCCTTGTGTACCAGATTCTTTGATTCGAGGTACCTCATACCCGAAGCTATTTGCGTACCCATGTATAGTAGACAGTTTTGACTACGGAGAGAAGAAAGTCATTTATTATATATATTCATTTTTTATTTTTTTTTTTGTATTTTCTTTTTATTCTTAGGACGTTGTACGAAAGATTCCCCGAGGGTTAACCAAAAGGTAGGGCGTACCAACACACAAAAGCACACGGTATACCATTTACTTTATTTATATCGTACCTGAGGGTCTTTAGATTGCAGGTCGGTCTTAAAGTTCCTGTAAGCGGTACGCTATACTGAAGATAATGGGCAAGATCACCGAGTTCGGTGTACTCGATGATTGTCCATGGTGCTGGCTCGGCTGCACAAACACCCAAGATCCTTGCCACATTTGGATCGGACAATCCAGATAGAAAGCTCACTTCTCTCATTTGATCGTTCGTACCGGGCGGCATGCCGATCCCTCCAGCATTATTGCTGCTGCTGTTGCTGTTGCTGCTGCTGCTGCTGCTGCCGTTGTTACTGCTGATGATGTGCCCACTTCGAATGTCGTTGATACAAGTTGGTACACGGGCCACGACCAATCTTGGGGCACTCGGTATAACATCGTCCAGGTCTACGGTCTCGCAAACGATAGCCTAAAGGGTTTCAACATTTCATCATCATTTTTTATTTTTATGTCTACTATAACCTTTTGTTAAGTTTATTTCTTTTCTTTTCTTTTCTTTTCGTTTTCGATAGAATGATAAGTTCAATATTGTTTGCTGATAGTTTCGAAGAAATATAAGTTAATTGAAGTTTCGTGTCATTTATTGTTTTTTTGTATAGATTTTCTATAGACGTACAATGACGAGTCAGACTCGTCATTCATTTCATGGGCCATTGTAGACTTTGACGAGTCTGACTGGTCAAGAGCTTTTTTTCTCTGGGAAAATAAAAAAAAGTAAAAAAAAAAATTCAAATTTCAAAGTAAAATATACATTTTCGTAGCTTTCACGTAACTGTTCAGTTGAGTGAAATTAAATAGTATTTGTTGATCGCATCAAGTTCCATTTAATTTGTATGTTAAGGGGGGGGGGAGTTAACGATTTGTTTGGTTAGCATTTTGTAATAATTGAACTTAAACTGAAAATGGACGGGGGGGGGGAGTGGGAATATTATTATATTATTATAAATGTAAATAAATACTTCTCCGATAATACTCGAGCCAAGTTTCTCCGTGGTTCTTAAGCAAAGTCGTGGTATACCGGTGGGTTCGATTTCCTTGCATTTGTATGGCTTGTTCATGCTAGGAGCTATGTTCCAAGTGACAACGGGTGCGGGTATCTGGAAAAGTAATTTATGCCCCGTCATGTTCGTCGCGCCATAGTTCGCCACCAACGCCATAAGGGAAAAATAAAATCGAACATAATGGTAGTTCAGAGAAAAAAGGGAAAGAACGAGAGAGAGAGAGAGAGAATAAACGTTTAACGGTTTTCTTTGTTCCACGTCGAATGCTTTTAAATAATAACGATTGTATATATAAGTATAGTGATAAATTACCTTGTTAATTGACGTAACATTGTTATGCTGTAACGTTACAGACTTTTCTTTAGGTGTTGTATGCCAACGTTTCGAATGAGTTCGATCCATATCCCGACGATAATTTGTTGTTGTCGCTGTTGATGTCGTTGCAATTGTTGCTGACGTTGTTATTGTTGTTGTTGTTGTTGTTGTTGTTGTCGTCGTCGTTAGGTTAAATTTGTTACTATTACAACTGCTATAACTTTGCAATGTTCTGTAATGTTGAACGTGACGGGAAGTTGATTCGGTTGGGGAAGATGAACGACTCAGTGGTTCCAATATCGAATCCGTTCGATTGTTCAATCTTACGTTTTCTTCGGAAATCGTTGAGTTATCTGGATCTTTCGTAGATTCTATGAATTTGAAATAGAAAATTAATATTCCTTTTTTTTTTCTTTATATATATAGTAATCACATATCGCGATGAATTCATATTGAAATTCAATTAATATTAATTATTATCGATTGTAAGTTATGTGGGAAATGACTTAACATATTCGCGGTCGACATATTTTTTTCAATTCTTATACTAAGTATTGACAAAAATAATGAAATTTTGAAAAAAAAAAACAATAATTTTTATATATATTCTATAAATAAATATATATATAAATATAGGTTTAAATTATTTCAATTTATATTTATATAATAAAATATAATAATATAATTAAATAGAATTATTTGAATACTATATTTAAATATATTATATTTAATATTATATATAATATATAAATTTATTTTTATTAAATTTTTAAAATGTAAAATGACGTGCATCACGTCAGCATCAACTAGGAATAGAACTTGAAAAGACGTGAATTCACGTCAGCTGTCGCGAATGTGTTAAAAATAACAATAATTTATTAATAATTTAATAATTAATAATTTCACATATAATTGTAGTATTCTTTTAAATAAATAAATTATTTCTAATAAATAATAAGTTATTCTTATAATATAATATTGAATAATTTAGTTGAATATTTATCGAAACCACCTTATTAGTGAAAATCATCAATATAAAAACCTGACGATAATCGATAAGCTTTAATAATATTAATTATAAGGATACATAAGTAATTGGAATAATTAAAAATGAATAAAAACTTACCAGAATTAGCTACGATAGCATAAGTGGATTTACATTGTGGACTGACCAATGGAGAATCGAATTGTTCCATTGTTAATGACTCGTGAACACTGGCGTCTTCTGGTGCGTCAACTGATGATGCATGATTACCTCCATCATTCAACATGCCGCCAGGTGTTAAATTTAAAAGTAATCCCTAAATAATTACAAACCGTTATTTCGTATTAATGAACAAGAGAGATTGTTTCGCGATTAGAAATAATGTCATCTGTAGTGTTTCGTGAGATTAATATAAATCGAAAGAAAATGTCATTAATAGTTTATGTACCTTCATATTAATCGTAAATCCAAACGGATTTTTAAGTACGGTTGGTGAACTTTGTAGCTTTTGTCGTCGATTTAATAATAAAATCACTCCGAATACCATAAGTAAGAGAAGTATAATAGCTGTTAATACACCTATCAATACTTCTAAATATTCTTGTCCTTCACCTGGGGCTGTTACTGTAAAAGAAACAAATAAAATATAAACAATATCATTGAGTAAGGATTAAATATACTTCAATACAGATACGTATGAATGATTAATCTAATCATTATCAATTAAGTTTTCAATGACACAACTAATTGAGCGAAAAAATACGATCGTCATTCTTTCTCGTCGAAACGAAATAATCGAAGGAAGGAAAAATTCCATTCACTTTTCAACTAAGTGCAATGCAGTATTTTTAATATTCGATGATACTTGAATAACATTACTGTATATTTTCTATTTTCTTTTCTTTTATTAACAATTTATGTTATCTTATTTAATATATATATATATAAAAATTACGTGTCACGTTGTTTGTCCGCAATGGACTCTTAAACTACTTAACCGATTTTAATCAAATTTTACACACTGTATGCAGTTTTGTTCAACTTAAAAGATAGGATAGTTTATATCTCAATTTATAATCGCAATATTATTTTATTAATCGCGAATTATTTATTATGCGTGTGTATCGGACTGATTGTGAGTGCACCCCTAGTTATATATATATATATATATATATATATATCTACAGTACTATGATGAATATCGTTTTAATATTTTATACATTAATGCACGATAATGTTATTATTATTTTTATTTCTATTGTAAATTACGACATTGTGTTTATCATTGTTTCGTAAAAGGTTTTTTAATTAAGTTTAATCCTTTGATCGTTTAATATTTATTAACCTTTTAGTAAAGAATAGTAATTGTACTAGCTGTACGTATAGAATAGATAAGGAACATCAATGAAGATCTAGGTCTAGTATTTTTTTTTCTTTCTTTTAGTCTTCCCTTTTCTAAACGTGTTTCCACGAATGGTCACGATTCTTAAGGAATAAAAGGGACGAATGGGAGAATGTAACAAATGGTTCGATTAAAATCCCATCGGGAAGATACGATTCTTTCGAGCTAATAGCCTAAACACTAATAGGGTATTTTCCGTACCGAAAAGCTGCTTTATTGACCGTAAAAGAAGAAGAAGAAGAAGAAAAAGTAGAGAAAACGAAGGAGACTATCAAAGGTACAACCTTAGCATACCACCCTATATAAATCTTTTATTATCGATTTATATTATCAAAAGTGTGTATATAAGTGTGTATATAAGTGTGTAAAATAAAAATCAATCTAAATCGTAAACAAACAAATATTTCAAGCATTTATTCTCAACACTTCGTTGAATATTATGTTAACAATAAATTGACGATGCGACCATATTGCTACGAATTAACGGAGGGCATAATTTGTTTATTGGTTATTTTGTTGTTGTTGTTGTTTAAAGGGTAACATTGGTTCAAATAGTCTAAATGATTTTATTTACGTATTTACGTATCATTTTCTCTTTTCTTCACGTACGAATATTAATTTGTTTATTCAATTGAATTGATATCATTATGTAAATGAATATTCATGTTATTGAAGTTACGGAATTATCAGAACACTTTGAACAAAGCTTTGTAATAATAATACATATCGTTATATATATATATATATAGTATATCAAAAGTAATATAAACGATATTTATGTAATTACTTAATACGAATACTGAATTTAAAGCTGGACGTTTAATTTATCCCGAAAGGATGTTAATGTAAAATTTATTTTCGACGAATACCTTTCGTTCTCGTTACGTACACATCGTTACTTATTTTGCATTTTCCAACGTTGAAATTTCTCTCACCCTCTCCCCTACCCTCTCTCTCTCTCTCTCTCTCTCTCTTGTAAACTTCACTTTAAAGAAAACTTTTCAAAAGGGTTTGTTCTCTCCTAACCGTCAGATCTAGAAATTTAAAGGTCCGTGTACAGACTTATAGCGACCTTCTTTATTTATAATTAACGCTTGGAAATAAAAGTTGAAAAGTTTGGTAGAGATAATCTACTCAAATATTATTAAATATATATATATATATATATATATATATATATATATATANTATATATATATATATATGTATGTATATTTAAATAAAGGTAAATCAAATAATATAACAAAGTTTTCGTGTATTTCAGGTATTAAAAATTTAATTTGCCTTTTTTTTTTTGTAAAAATTGTTAACCCGGTTGGTTGTTTTATTTTTGAAAAAGATTTGACTAAGTATCTTTTGAAGTTTTATAATATCATCGTCGTACTCTTTGAAGTTAAAATTATGTTCGCACAAAATACACACTACTATATAACATACAACAGTAGACTACAGTCGTAACCACAGTTACATGTTAAAGATATTATATTTGTTTATATCTTTTCCCTGGTATATATATATATATATATAAAATTGTTTGGAAAGCCAGTTATCGTTTTAGTCAGGCATTTTCAACCTTTGCGAATCAAGACGATAAAAAAAAAAAAAAAAAAACCAGAATCTACATTTACAAAGAGTTACAAAGAGAAAGACAAAGTAAAGATAAAAACAGAAATAATACTTTTAGATCATTGTTAAATCGCAAAAAACGCGTAATTATGTTTGAATTGAAACAAACCTTTTCTTTTGCTATTCCTACCTTCTATCTAATATTGTTTTTGCTTGATTTTTTCTCTATCTCTCTCTCTCTCTCTCTCTCTCTTTCTCTCTTTCTCTATCTTTTACTTTCTATCTGGCCTTTTTGAAAGTCTTCCCATTTCCATCCACCATTTCGTTCGTATATCCACAGCCAGCAAGCTTTCCATTCTCACGTAACGACTACCACTTAATCCGACTAATTGTTTACGTTACGCGGAAGTTGCTAGGTGAATTATAAAAGCATAACCCCCTCCCTTCCTTTTAGCTTCCTGTTTTTCTCTATCACTGTGTATATATATATATATATATCTTTCTTTCCCGTTGGATTTCGTCGGTGACACCAGTTAATCGTATCTCTTTCTTGCTGAAGAATAGCGGCCTCGTTTCGTTAATGAAGTTAGTTCATTGGACAAACCAACCTTCCTTTTCTTTATAAGAGGAACTTGGGATATAAGTAGTTGATGGTTGGCACTGGTGGTGGATGATGGTTGTAGTTGTGGTGGTAGTGGTGGTGGTAGTGGTGGTGTCTTAGTGATAGTGCTATGAGATGATGATGGTAGTGGTAGTACTAGTTTGCGGTTTTGACGCACCCGACGAACTTACCCGGCCAACTTATTCCTCGTTTGTTTTAAGACACGGCGCGGGATGGCGGACGGATGAGGAGAAAGATTGGCTCGAGTTGAGTTAAGTTACCTTCCTTCGCTTTCGAGAGGATAGGGTAGGGTAGAGTAAGGTAGGGTATGGTAGCTGCACGATTACGGAATTGAAGGAAGAAAGTAAAAAGAGAAGAAATTGCCGTTGGTTCGAGAACTCTTTTCGTCGGTTTTCCCAAGATGGAAGAAGAAAAAAGTATTAAGAAGAAAAAAAAAGAAAGAAGTAAAATAAGAGAGTAATAACGAAAACGACGCGATTACACTTTTTACGTACCTGTTTGCAAATTGAGATTGAGATCTGCATTTGAACTGACCGGGATTTCACCATCTTGCAACACCAATGTAGTCTCATCCGTTAAATTTTCGTATGGATTTGCTGCGAGTTAAATTCAACTTTTGTGTTTAATGTTTTATTCATCTTTTTTTTTTTTTTTTTAGATTATGTTAAGAGGATATAGTTGTTATATTATATATATTTATATCATAATGAAGGATTTTTGTAATATTAAAAGGTATCAAAAGTATGTATAGAAAAAGAAAAATATAACAAACGTTATTAAAATTTACAATGATACTTGTATAACTTACATTTATCGAACATAATCTCGCCAATCATTATCCAACGTGCTGCAAAATAAAGATGAAATTTAAGAAATTTTCCCGGTCTACCGCGAAGTCCTATCGTTACATTTCGTGCATTTTCCAATACAATGTCTGGTATGTAAGAATAGGCAATAGGTTCGTCCTCGTAATATTCGCCATCTTGACTGAACCAAATATCGGCTTTTGAAAAGACCTGTAACGCGATTATTAAAAATTATATTATATTATTGCAAATTGAAAACTTCAATGTTTATTTGATAAAATAAAAAAAAAAAAATTGATTGTTTACCTGAACATCTCGCGAAAAGTAATTGTTCGTGTAAATGTATACAGCTTCGAATATCCAATAATTTTCAAATTCTAAAATAATTTCTACGAAATCGTTAGGGAATGTATCACGCATCCAAGCAACCCAACCTGTTCCTGTAATAAAAATATGTAATCGATATTAAATGGAATTTCATTTCAAGTTATCTAATAGTTGTATCTATTAATATTTCATCGATTGATTGATCGATCATCGAAGTCTGTTAATTTGTAAGATCGTTTGCATCCAATAATAATAATAATAATAATAATGATTTTATTGAACGGTCCAATAAATGGAGGACTTGTGTAGAGAGATTCGATACGGTTCTCATTTACAATACGAGTTGTCAGTTAAGAGTGCAAAGTGTCAAGTATTGATATACGTTGAAAATGATGATGTTAAACATCGTGCCACGTTTTAAATTCTGTTTCGATCGATAAACGATTTATCAACAATTAAAAGAAGTTAATTGGAGTCAAGTGTAGTGTATTTCGTTGGAACGATCTATAATGATTAAACGATAGTCCCGTTAATACAAAGTTTAGGTATAAATCTTTTTTAACGTTCATTAATTTTGAGATATTAAATATACAAGAAAGATGTTTATTTTTATTTTTTTTGTTTTTTTTTACAAGAAATTAACGAGTTCGAAAATGTAGAGATTTTGTTGAATCTTTCGATTTGAACGTTCGACACCCTGGGCGTATATACACCCACCGATTACCTCTTCCATCTCCCATGTCCAGCCTGTAATTATCTGCGCCGACCTCGCCATCTATCAGTCGACCCAAACCATCGGTCAGCAACGAGTTGTACTGCCTTTTACCGTCGTACGAAGTGTCACTGAGTTCCTCCATAGGTGATTCTGGTATTGTGTAACTCACGATGCCACCTACAAAATATATTTATATATATATATATATATATATATATATAATATATAGAAATGTCAATAAAACAAAGAAAATGATTATCTTATAAAATATCGTATGATATAAATTAAAATTAATGAAAAATTTCGTTTCACTAATATACGCATAAATAATTGCATAATTTGATTCTGATAAGATTGAAGTATAGTAAGTATAGATTCTAACGATGAATTATTTTGTTGTTGATTTTATGTTATAAAATAAAAAATTCAATCTTTCGTTCATTCTCTTTTTTTCTTTTTTTTTTTTGTTCATAATAAAAGCATTTGAACCTAACAATATAAGTTCGACGCTTATGACTCGGCCATAGTTTCATTTTAATTACGCGTCCCGTGAGAGATTTTTATAACTAAAAAAGTCTACAGTTAAACTGGTGGTTAATGGATAAGTAAGATACAATGAATATGGTCGGATAAAAATGAACAAAATGGCGTCTGCGCGCTACTCGATTTGCTATTTCGCGCTAGAAGCCATTTAATTGCTTCTAATATTTCACGGTTATACACGCAAAATGTCGGCTGTTTTACTACCCTCTTTTCTCCGTCACCCTTCTCTCTCTCTTTCTTTTTCTTTTACTCTAGTGAGTTACATTGTCACGCGATGCGCTGGTCAAGCATGTTACGGTCAAATTATAAGTGAGCACGTATAATAATTTTTTAACATTTCCATGAGCACGCTGATGTGAAGTCACAAAGCACGCACTGTTCATTTTGATTTAATAATCAGCAATTAGCGTCGTTGAATCTTGTACGTGACGGTTCTTTCTTTTTTTCTTCTTCTTCTTATTCTTATTCTTCTTATTCTTTACCCGAAACCCTGCTACTTGTCCTTTTCCAAATCTCCTTTTGATTTTATTTTAAACAAGAAAACTTAAATATACGATTTGCGTGGACAGATTTTGGCAATTAATACGTTTGAGTTCGTATTCCTTGTATAGTCTCCATTTGACACTAGAAAAGCAAAATTACTTACTTGCCAACTCAATTAGAACAAAATTGATTATATTTTGCGTAAAATGAAGAAATCGTTCGATAAAACGATATCGTTCGTTTGTCTTATTCATGAAATATCAATGCATGTACAAGTTGTATATTCTTTCATGTTGATAGATTTAGAAATTGTCTTGTTATCAGAGGAAAATGTATTCGTTGTTATTAGGAATAGCAACGGGAAATGCATTATCCAAAAGCGGACCACGAATCATCGCGTACGATAATAACGGCGCTCTTACCGGTAATTCTACTCTATCACGTTAATCCGGTTATTGGGTAATTGAATTAAAGTGGCAATCTTCCATTCGTCCGTCATCTAAATTATTGCTGGGTTTCGAAGTCGAGATCTCTTGAGTATCTGAATGTTACTTGGATATCTAACTATTGACATTTGACTCGAAAACAGATTAGTCAGTCGGGGATAAATTTGGAATAAAAATGATTTCTTTGACGTGACCTATTATTTTCATTGGATGATAACCAATGATGATTATTAACTATTTCATAGAAATGAAATAAATAGAACGCGCCTCTTGTATTGTGTGTACAGTTTCAAAACTAGCTATTAATTATGAAAACTGGGTCATATTTTGCTATATATATATATATATAGATATGATTTTATTTAAACGAGTTACGTGTGAGAAACTTGTAATATAAATTGTTAATAATTTGGACGTTAATTTATTTTGTTTAAGAGGTGTTTTTCTTTTTATTGTTTTAATTTTTTTCTTTTTTTTTTTTTTTACAACGGAAATGTCTGAAGTCTTTCGTATAGATGTGTACCATGTACCAGACGTCTAACAAAATTCACGCCATTAGTGGAAATGTTCATAGCTATCACGTGACCACCGTGGACGGTATTAAGTTTTCCATTTAGATTCGTGCTTCATTCATTGCCGATCGCAATCGATGTCGCGTCGTGTCTGAAAGTGCAATGACCTCGTACCGATAGTGCGAAAGCTTTCATTCAACGCTTTGGTCTTTTCCTCTATCCATGCATACAACAACTAAACACATACAAACATACATATACATATATATATATATATTTTTTTTTTTCTACAGATCTATCTCGATGATAGAAAATAAGTGGTATACGCTAGATATATCACGAGAAGAAAAAAAATATAAAAAGTGACTAGCGTGTTAAAAAAGAAAAAAAAAACAAAAGAGAGAGAGAGAGAGAGAGAAAAGAAGAATATGTCAAGCCGATAAAATTAGATGAAATAAACTATTAAAACGGAAAGAAGATAAGAACGTTTTAAATTGAATAATTAATCGTACGGGGGTTAAAAAAAAAGAAAAACAAAAATGATTCCAACCGTGTTAAGAAAAATTATTTGGACGTTGGTAATTATCGAAGGTGGTTTGAACATGGACAACAAGGGGAAAAGACCGAGAAAACCGTGGACGATCGAAAATGTCAATGCAGGAGAACAATGGGTTTGGATTTTAGTGGTGACCGTGGCGAGCTAGATGGTAGTAGCCCCATTGCTGAGATACCCGTTGCTGCTGCTATTGCAACTGTTGTGTCATGGTTGCTATTGCTATTGCTGTTGCTATTCCTGTTGCTGTTCCTGTTGCTGTTGCTGCTGTTACTGTATTGGTGCTGGTACTACTGTGCTGCTAGTGGTTGCTCGTTCTGCGAGATTCCAGATTCGGCTAGTCGGAAGTAATCGCTGGTGTTCAACGTTGGGGTACGGCATCAACGTTGTTTTAACCAGATGCCGTGCACGACCTCCATAAATCTGCCATTCCGTAGACCAAGCTCGATCTCGCACGCTCTTCTCATTCTCTCTCTCTCTCTCTCTCTCTTTCTTTCTTTCTTTCTCTATTTCTCTTTCTCACTCACTTACTCACTCACTCACTCACTCACTCACTCATTCATTTTTTCTTTTTTTCTTTTTCTTCTTCAAGTATTTCTTATGTCGGTGTCGGCCTGAAATTTCCCTACTTCAAATTCTCTCTCTCTCTCTTTTTCTCTTTCTTTCTTCCTTTAAAACCCTCAACACTTTTCATAATTTTCCTTTCCCCTTTTTACCTTCTCATTATTAACGGTTTAAGAAAATCATTTACGCAAATTTGCTTCAACAAGGTCTAAGCTACCTTTTACATTTTTCATTCTACTCAAAATATATATATATATATATACATATATATACATATATTATTTTTTCTTCAATTACTTATACCAACATTTTTTTCACTCTCTCTCTCTCTCTCTCTCTCTCTTATCCTTTCTTCGTTGTAAGGTTTTATTTTTTTTCTTTTTATTTCTCTTAACATACATATACACACGTGGATGCATACACGTAAAGAAAAGTAATTATAAATACGACAGGTTGCATTCATAAATCCTTTTGTTTATTTCCTTTTACGCTCGTTTATTTTCATTGAAGATACTTAAAAGTATATTTATTTTTCAATGCCGAGCCAAAGAATATCCAAGTCTTTGGCTCGATTTTTCTTCAAATTTGAAAGATGAAAGTGTGAGGGTTTAGGGAGGAGGGTGTAGAAGAAATGGTAAGTTCTCATTCTCCGTCTACGGATTAGTATAATTTGTAGAAAACCTTGTTCCATGTTCAAGACTCTCTCTCTTTCTCTTTCTCTCTCTCTCTCTCTTTCTCTCTCTTTTAATGTGGCTAAACCGAGCGGGTAAAAGGTACATGCAAATGTATGTAAATATCATTACGGTGATGTACTGCAGCGTTTGTTATACGCGGGTCACGCACCCATACATAAATTAACTAGCACAAGGTGCTGCGACCTTTCGTTAACTCAGAAAAGAGAGAAGGAGAGTGTGTATGTAAGAGAGAAAGAGAGAGAGAGAGAGAGAGTGAAAAAAAAGGACGAGAAAAAAGAAATATTCAGAAATAGATCGCGGAAGTGAAGCAACCCTTGCGAAGAGGAGGTACTTGGGATAAAAATAAAACTGGAAAGGGTGAAGAGAAACCTGTTTGCAACTAGAACGCTTTTAACAAAAAGAAAGGAATTACTACTCATATTGAATAAAATGAATTCTCGATTTGTTCGCGTATTATTTATTTAAAATAATATATTATCAAATTATTTGTAAGTAATAAGAAATAATTATTTGAATACAATCGTATGTGTGTGTGTGTGTGTGTATGTGTTTAAATTAATCGTAAATAAATTATAATACGAGCGTGTTCGATCGATTATATTATGAATTACAATGTAGGTAAATGGTGTTAAAGTAAAATTAATAAAAAAAAAAAAAATAAAAGTATATCAAGCGTAAGCGTCCATGGTTTAAAATCCATGGTTATGCTTCCGTGCTCGATCTTTCATTCTATTTATTTTAGATGGCGAAAGGGGGTGTAGAAAATATAGTTAAGAAAGTGTGCGTTGTCGTCTTGGTGGTATCGTATACGATAGTAAGGGAACAAAATGGCTGGCATGAGAAAGGATATATAGTAATAGTAGTAGTAGTAGTAGTAGTAGTAAGATACGATAGAATGTACACTGAGGGTGCTGAGAGGGTGTCCGTAATATCGAAGAAATTATTATAATGCTCGCGGCGGCGTTTGGTGTTATGTATTCGTTATGTCGGACGATGAAACACAATGTCCTTTTCCCCATCGATTCCATTAAGCAGATACATGTTAGGTAGCGTATAGTATAGTAAAGAGTAGGGTTAGTATGAACGGTAGGTAGAAGGGAGGGATAGAGGAGGAACTAGGTCGAAAACAAATGTACGACGAGTCGGACCAACGAGCTAGTTCGTATAACGCCGTTACCGACGCTAATGGAATCCAGTACTGTAGACTGAGGAGTTTGCGAATTGGCACCCTGGCTGGAACCAGTACCAGCAACCAACACCCCAGCATCAGCCAACCCCAGCATCACCAACGCGAACAACACTAGCACACCAGTAGTATCAACAACAGTAGTAGCATCCTACTACTCGTTGCCGGTTCTCTCAACGGCCGCTCTTTCGCCAAATTGAATCGAGTTGCAATTTGGAAATTAATCGACCACTACCCGTCGTAACACCTCTCTTTCCTTTCCTCTAACTTTCTTCTACCTTTACTTTTTATTTTGTTTCTTTTTTTTTGTTTTTTTTTCTTGGTTTTCCTATTTCTCTTTTACTTTTATCCCGTCTCGTTTTTCCTTCTCTCTTTCTTTTTTT